GTACTACTAACCGGAGCAAAGTAAAATTCCGCCGCTGCTGAGAAACTAGTTCCTTTAAAAGTATTGCGATCATTGAGATGCAAGAGTAGTTTGATTTTTAACATTATTCTCTTAACAGACATTTACATCGATAGTCTGGCGTTATAATTTATTTGCTTTTGGTGTACTGTGGAGTGGGTAAAACTGTTTTTAATGGCAGGCTAGCAGTTACCGTTGACTCGCGCTAGCCTAGCACCGGCGAAATATGCAACTGGAACGACTGGATGAAAATTTTTGAAAACTGTCTCCACTGATAAATAACACTAAGGCTAACTTGGAAATGAGGCCCGATGTCCAAAATCCTGAACCACCCCTTTAAGATCTGTACAATGAACAACCACAAACTGAATAATTTTCCTGTAGGTCTCCTGTAAGTGACTCCACTAGCAAAAAAGAGGACCAAACTCATAGCAGTGAAGAGGAGAACCGGAGATCTGAAAGGAAGAAGAAAAAGTACCAACAACCCACTCATGTTACCGCAGAGAAAACCATGGCAAACGAATGTGCTCAACAGTAGTTGGGCTAATGCAAAATGGGAATCATTTGTCATAGTAAATAAAAATATATCGAATAAGTATTTTGGCAGGTTTGTGCATCATTGATTGATTTGTGACTTGTCCTGTTCTATGCACATGATTTGTAGCACATTTTATAATTTTTTCTTCATATTTATTAATACCTCTGTAATAATAACTATTTGAGACAGTTTGAATAAAAAAAGGATTAATGAAGTCTTAATGCATTATCTTTCTTATTGTATGCTTTAATGAACTTCCTGTGTACCATTATTTCTATGTTCTATAATGGTTTATAAACATTTAGATTAGATGTTTACAATTAGAACTAGATGGTGAAGGTCATCAGTTTTTGTTTTTCTCTTTGAGACATAATTGATGAACAGTAATAAGCCGTTGTGTTATTGTATAACGAGTGCAGTTACTTGGTATTGACGTTCTCTGATCATAAGTTCTGCTGCAGTCATTTTGTGCAAAATGGTTTATCATTAGTTTATCCTTATTGCTCAATTCATTTTTTGCTTAATTTTTTTAAAGAAATATATTATCATAATTCTTAAGAAACTTCTTGTTATTATGTTCAATGAGTTTGTGATTTTACAATAAGGGAGATCTCGGCAATGAAGACAAATCTAGACAAAGTATTGAGAAATTTGTTTTTGTGAATAAAAAATGTACAATGCAACACAAAGAAATTAACAAGATCAATAGCATAGTCACTCCTGGAAATATATCTTTCAACGAAAAGTTTAAATCACATTTTATAACGTCATGAAAGCGTGCATCTTCTTGCAGCCAATCACCGCGACCAGAAAGAGTGACGTTCTCCGAAACATACACTTGCTTTTATCTGATTGGTTCACGTTCATCGTTCAGATAGACTGCGGAAATACACATGGTTTCTAGTTGTTTCTTGCTGGACGATACAACCGCTTAACTCAGTACGTTAACAGATTACCGGTAATTCAAATATATTTAGATGTTTACGGTAGAATGGGCAAATCCAGAATGAGTTAATTTGGTAATAGTTTGGGAATGGATTTTAGGTTCGGCTGGTCTCCTGGCAATGGATGACGTATGATTGTTTATCAGGTTATTTTTATATTTTAACTGCACACATATTGCGTTTTCTTCGTCGAAAGATAATGACCAAACTTAAAATGCAAAACAAGTGGAGTATGAAACTTGGAGTGGCAATCACTTTTTGGCTTTTCAGTCTTCATCTCATATCTGCCCACAATGTGAAGGTGAGTACTGCTGTTTCATATTTTAGTATTTATTTTATTCTAATACTTTAACAACAGTATAATTTTTGGCTCTGTAGTCTCCAACAGCCCTGTCTATCAAAGAAGGTTCAGGTGATCATAGCAAGGGAGAAGAAACACAGTTAGAGAATGAGGATCCTGAAAATCTGGAGGTGTTTAGACCTACAGACAAGTGGCAAACTCTCAAACCAGGTGGCTATATTCCCATGCTGACAGTTGTGTTTGTAAATAAATAAATGATTAACAGACCAATTCCATATTTATCTGTTATTCAATTTAGGTCATGCAGTACCAGCAGGCTCTCATGTCAGACTGAATCTTCAGACTGGCCACAGAGAGGTCAAGATGGGAGAGGAGGAAGGTCTCAAATACTGGAGTGATGGAAATGGGTATAGTAATAGAAGAAAAAAGTATTCTACAGTAAATACTGTGTCATATAGTTATGTTTTTTACCCTCTGTGGTGCAGGCAAGGCATGATGAACATGCATGGCCCTTCATACACAGCTGAGGAGTTGAAAGAGGCTCTGAAAAAAATTAAAGAAGGAATGGATGATCCTGTAGACACAAAACAAGTATGTTCATTTCAGTTGTTCTCTAACCCCTTTTTTGCGTTGCTTATTGAGTTTTTTTAATCAAGATGTTCGAACATAGGAGGAAGATGCGGTGAGGGCCCAATTTCGCCCCATCGAAGAGCTGAAAAAAGACATGGAGGCACTCGACATGCTTGTAGAGACAGATGTTCAAGTTATGAGGAAACTTTTAAACCAATTCAATAATACTAACAGCACAACTGACGAAAAAGTCACAGCTCTTCTTGACCTGGAATACCTTGTGCACCAGGTAATGCTTTAATTACAAATATGAAAGTTTGCGTCCACATTTTTTCAAAGTCTTTGAAACTCATTGTTTTTTCATAAAGGTAGATAATGCCCGAAATTTGGTGTCCATGGAAGGAATGCAATTGGTTATAAATGCTTTAAACGGTACAGACATTAGACTCCAGGAGAGTGCTGCGTTTGTGCTCGGATCTGCTGTTTCAAGGTAAATGGCATTCTCTCGAGCAAAATTGCTGCCTACACATGATTTAATGTGCAGTCACATTTAACTTTGTTCAGTGAACTTTTGCGGTCAAATCCAGTCATTTTAATAGGAATCCACGCATGCAATTTTGCATAAGGGTGAACGATTTCCCCACACAGATTTCGCAGCAGGTTCAAGTTGGTCACCTTGATCAACAGAAAGCTGTTTGGTTTGAAAGTGACTTCTGTGTGAGCTGTGTTACACATTTTACAATAGACAGTGGAACTTTTTTACCCACATAATGTTATGTAATGTGACCCTACCTTTACAGTGATGCAATCCATCTTCATGTACCTTTTTCTAGTAATCCATCAGTGCAGGTTGAGGCAGTAGAAGGCGGTGCGTTACAGAAACTGCTGACATTGCTTGCCACTCAGCGACCAATGGCCGTTAAGAAAAAGGTAAAACCAACAAGAAAGCATGGGTATTATGCTGTTAAATAAGAGTAGTAAATTAAATTGTCTTCTTCATAGTTAAATGTGTATGAATTCATCCCTTACTTTTGACATTCTGATTTAATACAGGTGTTATTTGCTGTGGCCTCACTACTGCGTCACTTCCCGTTTGCTCAAAGTCACTTTCTGAAGCTTGGAGGTGTGCAGATGCTTAGCAAACTGTTTCAAACACCAGGGGCCGAGGCCCTCCGTGTGAGAATCATCACGGTTCTCTACGATATGATCATTGAGAAGGTTCATATGTTTACAAGTTTAAACTTTGCTACACTAGTACCATGCAACATTTTGGGGTCAATTTCTATTCATCAAAAAATCTTGAAACAAATATATCATGGTATTTACAAAAATATTAAGCAGCTGTCAACTGTTTTCAACATTGATAATAATAAGAAATGTTTCTCCAGCACCAAATCCAATCCAATCCAATTATGTGACACTGAAGACTGAAAAATCAGCTTTGCCATCACAGCAATAAATTACATTTTAAAATAAGTTATTTAAAATCATAATAATATTTCACAATATTACTGTTTACTGTATTTTTGATCAAATAAATGCAGCCTTGGTGAGCAAGAGACAAAAATATTAACAACTATTACCAGCCCCAAACTTTTGAATGGTAGTTATTTAGAAAAGGTTTACATTGCGAACTGAAAATCTAATTTCCATATGTATCAAGCTTATTCTTAGAATTTACTATACTTTGTTTTGTAGGAGCTGATATCACAGGTGGGAATGGACCTTATCCCAGATTCCTCTCACCAGGAACGTTTGCGTCAATATGCTGAAGTCTCCCTCCTGCCCGTGTTGGCGGAGCAGGGGTGGTGCAGGCTGGTGCCTGAGCTTTTAGCGTCACCTGACCACGACTGGAGAGAGAAGACTCTGCGCACTCTGCTTGCCATGATGGCTCAATGTCACACTCAGTATAAACAGAATCCCTCATTGACAGCATCTCTTAGTGAACTGCAAAAACAATACCAAGAACTGGTGCTCATAGAGCAGGACGTAGGGGAGCAGGACGGTTACTTTGGGGAGATCCTGGCACTTGTGGACTCTATGGTCTTAAAAATGCAACGGGTGTAAAATGGAACTGCTGTCTTCTTAGAACATTAAGAACTAATAAAATAATTGAATGCTGAATTTTGGATTTGCCTGGCAAGTAGTTCAAGTGATGCACCATGCATAATGTTTGCAAAATTAGATGAGTCAAGTAGTTTTAAATAAGTGTTCACAAATAAGGACAAGGAAAACTAAATTTTTAATATACATTTTTTTTAAATATATGGTGTAACCAAAGTAGAATACATTTTGACACACACACACTGTATTTAACAGGTTTTATTTTCATTTATTTAGGCTTTTTTCATCATAATTCTAATACAATTCCGTAGTATCACCCTATTATTTTAAACTTTTTTATTAATTTCAGGGGAAAAAAAAAACATGTTTATCGAAGAAAATATGTACTCAATTCATTGTATGAATTGATTTTTTTTTATGAATTAATTGGTCCAAACAAAAATTTATATCAGGTCATTGACCCAGTTAGTTGGCACAGAAAAAAATTAAATGTGCTACACAAAATCTGTTGTTGTGATTTCAAGGATAGCAACAAAAATCACGTAAAGGAGGGAAGAAAGAGAAATTCAGAGTTTGAATGTGGTTTATTCGAAACTATACTTTTTAATCAGATTGTAATAAAATAGAGCTCTTAAATGCTTCACTGTTTTATTGTATGACATTACATGTTAACAAATCAATGTCTGATTATGTTCCAAATTATAGCATATGACCTTATATGATAATGATTAATATTTGACAGAAAATCATGCTGGTTGCTGTAGTATTTAAATGGAAAGCCATTGTGGATGCCAGCTGTCACAGCAGTGAAATCAGAGGGTTTCACATTTTCCTTCGTGCTTTACATTGACGACCTGGTTACGTAACCTAAACAGACAAGATATGTGTTAGAAGAGGCACAAATACTGATAGAATTGCTATCAAGAATGTTTACTGTTTTGAAAGAAGACAGGTCTCTTGCTTTTTTGTCAAATATTTTGTCCTCAAAATCAAAAAATGGCTGTTTTCTAAACCTTGGCAAGTGATTCAAATCTGATATCTGGGCCTAGCTTGAGATTTCTCACATCTGCTCTCTCAGCCTTATCAAAATGTTGAATTTACATTGCATAAATGTTCAGCTGACGTACTTGCTCTCCCAGCGTAGCATGCACTCATTGGAGTATGTGATACCATCGTCTCCACACACTGGCATGTACTCACGAGTACATCCAAAATCAGGAGTATCGCTTTCCTATTATGGAGATATTAGAGAGATTCAAACCACATATCATAACACTTTACTACCACTGTACTTGATTATACACTACTGTTCAAAAGTTTGGTGTTCATAAGATTTTTTTTTAAAAGAAATCAATACTTTAATTCAGCAAGGATGCATTAAATTGATCGAAAGTGACAGTAAAGATTTCAAATAAATGCTGTTCTTTTGAGATTTTTTTTTTTATCACGGTTTCCACAAAAATATTAAGAAGTACAACTTTCAAAATTGATAATAATACTGAAGACTGAAGTAATGGCAGCTTTACCATCACAGGAATTAAATATACAGAGGTGGATAAAGGAAAACTTTATTTATTTATTAAACTTCCTTACTTGAGTGAAAGTATAGATACTAGGCCTACTGATCAAATATTACTCCATTACAAGTAAAAGTTGTATAAAAGAAAGGTTTTTACTTAAGTAAAAAGTACTTAAGTATCAGAAGTAAAAAGTGAATGTCAATGCATTGTTTTATTATTATTGCATTGTTGTATGTCATACTTATGCCTCTGAATCTATGCCTGCCTACCTACCCTCATAACAATATCAAATTTATTTCTAGAACACAGTTCCAGTAGTGGGATTGAATGTGAGATTGAATAAATTCACTCAATAACGCCCACAATGGTTTCAGACACCCAAATGGCTGTTCCCTCAAATAGTGCCCTATTTAGAGTTTTTTGGCTTTTATTATGAATATGTTAGCCTTACTGTTATCTATAAACTAGTGTGCTCCAAAACAATGACAAAATTCGCATTTAGAAGACCAAACCCAACGTTGAAAATGAAAATCAGGTTGATGTCAGAATCCAACGCCAGATTGACATTAATCTCCAACATTGGACAGACATTGTATTGTGGTTGAAAATGAAAATCTGTTTGACGTCAGAAACCAACAGAAGGAATGGATGTTGAATGGTTCTGACGTCAACCCGACTTTCCTTTCCAACCAAAATACAACCCCTGCAACCAAAATCATCCCCTGACTGACGTCAAGGACCTTGACAGAATTGTAGTGGAGTAAAAAGTACGATATTTGTCTTTCAAATGTAGTGAAGTCAAAGTGAAAAGTTTTGAGAAAAAATTATTCTCAAGTGTACTTAAAGGTGCTCTATGTAACTTTTCTACTAAAATGAATCCTTTTTTATTGCCTGTGTGTGAAGGGGTTGTAATCACACATTAAAATGATCCACTTGTCGAGTTTTGCTATTACCTCTGAAGGCCAGTATTCCTATTTCTATGTGAAGTCTCCGGGTCGGATTTACCGCGAAATCCAACGGATGTGACGTGCATGCGTGCTCCCGAGCCTCTCTCCTTATATACAGTCTATTGTAGACGGTCAGGGAGTTACGTCCGGTTAAAGGCGCACGTTTTTCGGCTTATATCTCGGTCAATCTTTGATCAATATTCCCAAGACTCTAATCGTTCGTAGTACCTGACGGGGCCTTTCGAACGAGCCCACCCCCGAGGTCCAACTCGCCCGGCTCCCAGAGTTATAGCCGTTCGAAAACGGGGGTCCCAGCGAACGGCGATCCGGTAGGGGGCATCCCCGAGGCCCGCCACTCTAGCGTTCAGGCAAGGGTTCCCCTGGGACCTCCTCCCCTGAATTTGAGCTCTCTGGGTCTTTGCGTTCCAGAGATACGAGTGATTTTCTTCTGAGATCGTGACGTCACCGGCGGCCGCAATTTTGCTGCGCGCCAGATCATTTTCTGCTAATATCTCCGCGAAAACACCACCAAAAACTATGGAACTTATATGGTTCTTTTCAGCTCGACTAGATGGTCCCAACGAGCTCGGTGCTCGCCGAATCCGTCTAGTATTCGCCGAGATATTTGCGTAATAGACGGTATTGTCTATGAGCACGAGCGCTCTTGTAAAATTTGGTTGCAATCTGAAACATCACCACTAGAGGCCGCTAAAACTTACATAGAGCACCTTTAAGTACAATACTCAAGTAGGCTAAATGTACTTTTTTACTGTCCACCTCTGAAAATATATCAAACTAGAAAACTGTTATTTTAAAATGTAATAATATTTCACGATTTTCCTCTTTTTACTGTATTTTTGATCAATAAATGCAGCATTGGTGAGCCATAATAGACTTCTTTCAATATATATATATATACATACAGTATATATATATATATATATATATATAAATATATATGTATTTACTATTTGGTAACTTTAAAATGTCACTTTAACTATAACTTACCTCTCTTGGTTGTGGTTCTGCCGCTGTAAAAAACAGTATTAAAAGATATATTATGATTATGAGAAATGAAAGAGGAATGACACTCATGTTTCCCTGTTGAAATTCCGTACAAGAAAAAAAAAAGTCACTCAGCAAGTTTTGCTCTTTCTTTTCAACCGTTTTGTTTGAATAGCTTCTAGATTCTTTATGTATGTGGTCATCACTTTTTTCCATCTGTTATGATCTTTATCATTTCAACAAGAATCAACATTTCAATTATTTCAACATCCTTCTGTGTTTTTTGAGTGTATCTGCATGGATTAAATGGATATTCCAGCAATACTTCAGAACAGATTCAGGTCAGAGAATCCAAATGTATAACAACAACTCAACTTATATATTCTTTATACCAGCTACAATTATGTTGTATCCGTCCAAATGTTGCTGTTTCAGAAACCATGGATCTCTACAACATGGATGGACCTATTCCAAAATATCACAAAACGGATCTGTCTGGGTCAGCCAATAATCAAGACCTATGGCTTTAAAGAACAAAATTGAATCTTCTAAACTGTAACCATATCATATCTGGATTTTCAGGAAAGCAAACAACAATTTACAAGTCATCATCCGCATGTTAACCAAAACATTTTGGGTATCTCAAACATGCTTATTATGACACGTCAGTGTACAATGATGTATATTAAACAACAACATTAGCCTGAGTATGGATTTGTTTTTTAAAGATAATTATACCACATACAGTATTCACAGTTCAGTGTTTTTATGTAGGAACAAATGGAAATGTTAATACTTACCAGAGAGGCAAATGAGAACAGAAACGCAGATCAGGATAGCCAACTTCATGTTCACTGTTGTTGAGCAAGTTGAGAGTGGGAAACTCAGCAGGTGTATCTTTGTAGCCGGGGCTCTGTAGTTATAGCTTTCGAAATTAACCAAACACTCCTCCCTCCCTCCCATTGTCTCTGCCTACCCAGAAAGAACCTGACTGGTGACATTCATGTAATGGGTCCACAAACAATGACTAAGGGCATTTGGGACTAAGGTCATTTATTTGTGGTTTTGTAATATTATTAGAGAAGCCTTGTCAACAAATTGCATCCTAAAGAAACTGTTCAATTATATTAAACAGAAATAGCAAAAGAGAGCCATACTTATAAGCATAAAACCCCTCTTGTCCATGAGAGGAGCAGAGCTGGATGTCTAACTTCTCAGAATGTTTGTTGCAGAAAATGTTTTCGTGGAAACTGTGATACATGTATTTTGATACACATTTCTTTGATGAACAGAAAGTTCAAAAGAACAGCATTCCCAAATGTATAAGGCCATCGGCAAAATAAATCATGACTACATGTGAAGCTCTGGAGAACGATTTGAAGATTTGGAAAACAAGACATTTACTGAATATGTTTCTTGAGAAGCAAATCAGCCTATTAGAATGATTTCTGAAGTGATCATGTGACACTGTAGACTGGACTGGAGTAATGATGCTGAAAATTCAGCTTAACCATTAATACATTTTAAAATATATTTAAATAAAATTGTACATTTTAAATTGTAATAATATTTCACAATGTCTGTTTTCCATCTTACTGTCCTGTTTTCAAAATCTGCATGGGATTCACAAATCCAGTCATAACTCATTTGCTTTTTGTTGTTGTTGATGGCCTCCTATCAATTTAGAGAAGCTTTTGTTTACTGAATGTGCTTTTTTATAGTGAGTTATGATAAGAAGCCTAAATATTCTGTTGTCCAACTTGTCGTGAAACCTTCAATCAGGAGATTAGCTAATAATTCATCAGTTTGATGAGTAGTCAAACAGAACTAAAACTATAATTAAGAGGGACGTGTGCAGTAACTTCATTGAGAGAAACCTTTAAAGGCGTAGGCTAGTTCATCCAAAATCATACTCCCTCTCATGTTGTTCCAAACCTTTATGACTTGAAGGGATTAGCAGAATTTTAAGAATGGTTGGTCAAAGTAACCATTATTTTAATGTCATCTCTTTTTTTTCATAATAAAAAACGAATGGTGACTGAGTCGCTCTGCCTTAAAATCTCGTTTTGTGTTCCGGAAGAAAGAAAGACATACAGGGTTGAAAAATCATGAGGGTGAGCAGCACATGACGACAAAATGTACTGCATATCTCATTAAATCTCACTAGGTGGCATCAGTGAACTATGAAGCGCAGGTCATTAACGAGAGTTAGTGCACAGTCATCGCGAGACGTGTAAATACTGAACGTGTGTGAATTATTTTCTTGGTGCCAACGACACAAATATAAAATAAAAACCCTATAAATGCTTCTAATAAGATGCTTAAATAGACATAAGTATATGAATATTTAAATATAAATATATCATATTATATTATTATGTATATTATCAGACCAAAAGTTGTATTAATTTCTGTGTTATAATTCTTGATTATATATATAAAACAGCTCCTTTAATTTAAAAGAACATAAGCAGAGCACTGACTTTACAAAAAACATCCCCAAATTCTCCTGCGCGCCCTCGTGTTTCTCACCGCGCATTCCCGCAGCCTCGCTGACATCACGCGTGAACCCCTCCCCTGCCCGCGGCGGCGCGCTTTAGCGCGGTCTCGCTCCTCTCCTCAGATCAGCAGAAACTGTTCATCCCGAGACGGACAAGATGGCGAAGTGAGTGGGTTGCGCTTTGAAGAGAAAGCAGCGACTCACACAATTTCTTCAAGATTAAAACGTCGGTTGCCTTGATGTACGTTCGAATAAGCGGGAAAGCGCTTCTTTAAGAAGAAAAATCGCCCCTCACAGCGAGGTGATTCGAAGAGAGCGTCGAGGACATCGACTCATCCGTGTCCTTTCAGGCTAAGCTGCTAGTCAGCTATTCGGGGAATTGCTCAAGAGAGAAAAAACATCCTCAACCTCAGGGGAAATAGCCTTGTTTTTTACTTAAATGTCGAGGCAACAAAAGTCCTATTGAAACCAATGTCCGTAATCATCTCCTTTTCGGCGTTGTGAGTTAAGGACACAGCTAGTGAGACCCGTTTTAGGCGAGCTAGCATTGTTTCTACTGGATTGAAGAAGACTGAAAACCTCACCCGTTCACACAGTTTCAGAGTAACTCGGATTTTAGGACATGGCCAGCAGCAGTGGCTCTAAAGCCGAGTTTATAGTCGGTGGAAAATACAAGCTCGTTCGTAAAATCGGATCCGGATCCTTCGGTGACATTTATTTGGCAATCAACATCACAAATGGCGAGGTAAAGATGAAATGGATGTTAATTCATGTGCTGAAATGACTGGGATAAGAAGATTGAGGGGTTTATACATATGTCCAACTCATCACATCTGATTACCTGGACACTTCATATGACCACAAAAAATATAGTATTGAAAGATTACAATATTTATATGACTTGGAGGTATTACTATTTGTGGGAAGTCAATAAACGATGTATCATTGCGGTTTCCCAGAACAAGTAATAAAATATCATGTGCTCTCAAATACTGAACCAAATTCTAGTACTTTGTAAATCATATGTAGATAAATATAACTATTAGCAGACAAATGATATAACTTAATTTTGAATATTTTCAGGAGGTAGCTGTGAAATTGGAATCACAGAAAGCCAGACACCCTCAACTCCTATATGAAAGCAAGTTGTACAAAATTCTCCAGGGAGGAGTCGGGATCCCACACATCAGGTGAGCACAGATGTCTTATACGTGAAATTATTATCAGTTTTAATTAAAAGTAACTTAGCTAGACTAGTTTTATCTGGTTTAAAGACTTAGCATGAGATCGAAAGTAACGGCTCGAGTACAAAGTAACTTACACGTCCATCTACGTATAATATCTACCTCTACGCATAATACTTTTCTTATTAAATGATCTAATTCTGTATATATACTTTTCTTTATCGTTTTTTACTTACGATAGTGTCGACATGCTAACTAGCCCGGTCATTAGCACTAGCGTTTCTATGAAAACTGTGGTGAAATGTGCCGTTATAAACATTGTGTTCTGTATAATGTGTAATATTATAGTGTAATGAATGAGATTTGATCGCGAAGTGTGTGTTTGTGCGTTGCTGAGTAATGAGTAATGAGCGAGTGGGAAATGGCCGCTGCTCTTTTGTTGTGTTTGTTCAACATGTCCTCCCTCTCGATCAGAAAATGGCGGATGAGGGAAAACAAGTTTCAGGGCCTAGTGCGACTGCTACTCTCTTCTCAAGGTGACTGAGCCAAACGAGCGCTGATATTAGTTTTAGAACACATTTATAATTAGATGTATATTTGAATAAAGCATAGTGACTGATTTGGTTTCACACAAAATGGGTAACGTTAGAGGTTGTCACGTAACGTTATTCTTCTGACACGTTTTCTGATTTGGATGTTATCGTTGAAGGTAAATTACGTCATACATTTCACATTCTGAGTGCAGAATTCCCCTATAGGTTAAAGTTTCTTGGTGGTTGAGTTTGTATTTCCCTTAGCTGTTTGTGCAATTATGTTGGGCTTTTAATCTCTTAGTATTGTCATATATTAACAAATGTATGTTAACCCTTATCCTGGGACATTTGAGAGGGTGAGGGATTAGTGGGCCTACTCTTTCATAAATCTACTCCGATCTAATAACTTGGCATAAAACGTAAATCATTTTTGTCTAAAAGTAACATGGTAGTTTGCTGTAAGAAGGTTACCAACCCTGAGGTAGATGTTGAGATGTTAAATGGCATTTTCATGGAAGATAGGCTACAAAGATTAAAATTTAAAATAAAAGCAATGTCGTTATTTTAATGTTAATTACCCTGGCTGGCACCCAGACAGGTTTGTCTTAAGCCCTATTCGGACGGGACTAGTTTAACATGGAGAGCTGGGGTAAAATAATTATCACCAGAGCTTCTCAGTGATTTTAGTTATGTCCGAATGTGCCATTTAAGTAATCATTACGGACAATGTCACTAAATATTACAGTGAGTTTTACTTTCTGGAAAAATGATCTCAGGTAATACTAACCCCGTGCGAATAGACCCGCTGTAAGTACGTAAATATTCCGTCATTTCCTTTTTAAAAGTAGTTTTCTGCGTTTTTTTGTATGGAGGAAAAAGCATTCAGTTGCGTTCTAGGCGGTGGGACGGTCAAGTCTCTGGCAAAACTCAAGTGTTTCCCACAAAGGCTACCATTCAGATCAAAAAGAAGATCGAAAGCACGAAACATCTTTTAGCGTTAGGTAAGTGCCTATTACCAACATAATCCAATCTGAAGTTTATTAATACATCGTCAGACCGGACCTTGTAACTGTTTTATATATAATATAGGTTATATGTTTGCGCAAGTGATATCAGGAAGCAACGTAATACACGCATGAAGACAGGAGGGTGACGGCAAATCGAGTTACCCCTCCTACTTCTGCTGGTTTAACGGAGATATTTTATCCCGTGCGAATTGGCCATTATTATTACAGATGTCCTGTGGTAAAATTACATTACTCCATCTACTCTTGTAAAGTTAATCCCATCCGATTAGGGCTTAAATCTTCTGAACCTTCACCTCTTGGCTCTCTCAAGCTGAATTACTGTGGTATTTATGCATTTAAATGTAACTTTATTGCAGGCATAGTCGATGGAAAAGGCTGGCATTACCTGGAGGCACCGATGTGTGAACTTTATCACTAGGGGTGTAAATCGGAGCCTTAATCACGATTCGATACCAATTTTTTTAAGCCAACGATTCGATTATTTTCGATACTTTAGAATTTCCCGTGATTCGATACGATTCAATACTAGATATTTTTACATGATATCTATTAAGTTTAAAAATAAATAAATTATTTAGCCTTTTATTGAGAATACAGAAACAGCATTTGTGGCGAGCAGGACGCGGCCGACGTGAGAGAATGGCGCGAGGCCGGTGGTGTGAGTG